AAAGCTTTGGTGCTCACGAACGAGACACGTTTCTTGCGACCAACAAGAAAACGAACACAATAAAGCGGGTGCTCAGCAGAAATCCTAACGAGGCATTTTGGACAGATGTCTGAAATGTCAGTTGAGAGGATTATGCATGATTATAACCGTCAACTCTGGCTCCAAATGAAGAAAGACAGCAGAACGGTCAACAGCTAACGAAAACGTCTCCGGTTAATTGCCTCGTTGACGAACGCGAAAGGGCGTTTCATCTCTTCCTCGTGAAACCAGTAGCAAAAGTTAACAAACTCGAGCTGTTCACCTCCTAAGTCTTAATCCAATTAACTTCGAATGATCGTCGATTTACTTGACCTGTTGACGTTTAAGTCTTTAAACACAGGTAGTTAGTTTCAATATTATTAAACGTATCTCAAATTTAAACCTGTCGATTTTTAAAATATAACTTTAAATCTCTAATTAACAGAGTGGATTTCGATGTAAGGCATTGTATTTTGTGGTCGGAATTGAATAATTATTTATTTTAGGGTATGTGTTATTTACGAATGCTGTAAATAACATATGAATTTTGCAAACAATTGTTATGAAATGAATATTCATAAGGCGTCGTCGTGTATACGAGCAATTTGACTGGCGTTTCTGAGCAAGCGGGTAGCCACGCCAATTCGATAATTTGCAAGACTCAACATCAAATTGCACTTCGTGCCGAGCGGTGATGATGATACATATTTATATTAGTAGTAAAGTTAGAACTAACGAATATGTTAAAATTAATATTACACTTGAATTTGGAACGATGTAGGTTACTGTAAAAGAGAACTTACGTACAATAAAGAATGGTGTTTTAACTACATACTAACAGTATTGTAAGTAGTACTTGAGGTACGAGGAAAATACGTCTACTAAGATGATTAATGATCTGTTTCTATGCAAAATATACACAACAATAGCTTTAGCCTCACCATCGACAGAACAACCACCACCGTTATTCAAAATACCTGCTTTCCAATGTCCTATTTTTGGTGTCGCCTGATCGAGGTTCTTTCTATCGCGCCTGAATCAATTTATCAAAGACCCCCCAATTACAATAGAGGTCCCCCCGATTTTTAATCTAGCTGGTATGACGCGAGGCGCCGGCTTTCTTCGGCGCGACGCCAATCTGTAACTGTCGTCGAGAATACGTCATTACGTCGGCCACCGATCGCGGCGGGTGGCTTCTTTATTTCTGAGTTATTCTTCGGCTTCCAGCAATTTGTCTTCTTTTATACGCCGACTTACGCGTTCCGCACAATCGGAACCGCGGCACAATTTATGTTTTCTAAAGAATTTCCTCCTTCCATCGCAGCGTGTCACATTCTGCGATCATTGTGATAAATTACTTGGTCGATTAATTGACGTTTATAGGTAATTACATTTGTGAACGTTAAATTTATTTTTTTACAATTTCCCGGCTCATCCACCATTTTATAATACTTCTATTTTTGGCGTTTATATAACGATTTATACCCTTGATCCCCGTAGCAATAATGCCTAGACAATTAACCACGAGACAATCATTTCGACATCGCCTTTATTTTCTCGAGGGAGCCATTTCATCGGCTTATTACGTACCGCAAAGTAGAGGAGACGAAGGGTCTTGGGTCCAAAGCAGATTTACGTCAGCACCACGCAGTAGTATTAAATCATTTCGCCGCTAATTTCGCGAGGAGATTGCAACGTTGCTGCTTCGGCAGGCGACTTATATGGAGTGCTCAAACAGGGTCTCCGGAAACCGAACCGGTTGTCATCGGTTTGATAAACGGCGGAAATGGGAAAATCGAACTGGCTTTGTAACCCCCAATCGTAGCTTTTAACTTCAGATTCGGTCAAGGAAGATAATTAACGGTCGGAATATCGCTCCCCAGAGAATCGCCGGATGTATTACCTTCGTTGTTCCTACAGAGTTCCAGATATACATGTTTCGGCTAATTTCCACCAGTAGAGAATTGCCGTACACCGGAAAGCCATTGTCGCTTGCAACTGTGGCAGCAGATAATTAGTGAAAAGTATACAGCTGGACTATGTACCTGTTTCCCTAATGAATTGATAATCCCTTGAGATTTCAGCTGGCAGAATACTGTAGAGAGTTTGCTATAGTTTGAGCGGTCAAACTATAGAGTTTCAATGTATTCAATGAGTAGTTTCGTATTCTAATATTAAATTCTGTTCGACAATGTTAAAATTAATAATAAATTTAAAGAACATCCTGATGATATTCATAATTTTTATATTTCAACAATTAAATCATCTGTAATACTTATATTAACTACTTCTTGAAAATGTTTTTAAAGGTACGATAGTTTTAAAGCCTGAAAAGGCCAAGGTAAATTTGTTGATTTAATACTGAAGGTACGTTATTGTTCGTGCTTTTCTATAACAGTCTTGAACGGTGAAGATTTATACAACACATTTCACTTGATTTACGTTTTAGCAACGATGATTTATATTTTAAAGAACATTTATTGGCTAATTTCACAAATATATATTTATATATTTTATGGTCTCGAGATTTCAACAATTATTTAAATGTTTTCAAATCCCCCTCGTTATATACTTGGATCACACAACTGTAATAATTTTTTTAAATCAGTATTTTACAGTATAATATATTTATAACTCTTTCCCTTACCAAACGCTCTAACACCGATGCTAAATAATTTACAAGCTGTGAGATGTCCATTTATCAACCTTATGTACCGCATTCCACAATGGCCAAACCCGGGTTGGAATGACTAGAAAAGTGGCTTTTGGCAATGGCAGCTACAAGAACTAAATTCAGGTCATCCTAGTTCAGAGCTATATTTAAAAATTTACCAACCTTTCTTTGACTCTCCAGGTTATTTCTCCTGAATTAACGTTTAACTACATATTTACAAAAATTCAAAACTTTTATAGTGGTTTATCTGCTATAAAAGATTATTAACTAATTTTATATGAGGGTTGTTTCTTGGTTTAAATTTTGTGGTATATTTTTAATAATAATTTACGAGGAAAAATAAAATATGTATCCTCGTTTTTTTATGTTGTTAATGAATTGTTAGTTTTTTGGACGTAGTGAGAAGAAGTTGTAATGAGGTTAATAAAGGATCTATGTCAGTAAGATCATGAAATGATACAAAAAATTCTCCTGGCAGACGTAATGGTTGACCAAAAACAATTTCAGCTGAGGAACAACCTAAATCTTCTAAAAGAGAACAAAATTGATATCCGATCTGGTACTAACAAGATCAAAACAAAACATTTATGTTTTAAAATTTCACTAAAATTAATTAAAGAACTTAAAAAGCAAAATAAAAAATTAAACAAAAGATTGTTTAAATAATCAGAGACAGCTATCTTTTAAAAGGAAAAATTATGGAAAATTAGGATTCCGATTTGCTGTTAAGCTTTCATCTGATCACTATAACAAATAAAAAAATAAGAAAAGAACATTTTCTACAAATTTCGACCACTTCTTACCGCCGACCCAAATTGTTTCGAGCATATTTTGACATCAAAAGAGCATCTGCATAAAACCGAAATGTACGAAATGTTTAATATTATTAGCACAATTTTATTGGTAAGAAACAAAGACTATAAATATGAAATAATTATTTGATTTTAAGTTTTAATGAAAAAAATTTTAGTGGCAGTGTGGAAAGCGGATAAAAAGCCTTTCAACACCAGTTTTAATAAAAAAGAAATTTCAGAAAACATCAATTTTCAAAAGTTCTAAAGAAGAGAGATATTTGATCTAAATTGCGTGTAAATTAATTTACAAAAAATATATTTCAGGACGACGACTTGCAATGATTGAAATGAAATTCTTGGTTTCGTACATCGTTAGAAATTTTACATTGCCCCCAGTTGAATCTGAACACAAATTGGAGCCGGTTCTAGATTTTCGGTTGAAATGTAAAAATGGTGTTCCTATTGTTTTCAAGAAACGCATCATTTAACAATTGCGTAAGATTTATATTATAATTTTATGTAACTTTAAACATTAATAACATAAATATCTATATTAAATATTTGTACCTCTTTGAATAAAAAGTTTTCCCACCCCAACCTAAGGATCCTCATTTTTCTGTTTCTATTCATAGAATATTATAGCCACACATATCGTGGTAAATGGATATCATTTAACATTAGCGAGGTTGCTTGCAAGCGAAGGGTTAGAAGCGATAGTTTATACCAGCTTTATGTTGATGTAATTACACATCTAGCAAGAATACCAACAAGAATCACAACGAATTCCAGTTTAATGTCATCATGCCAGATCTTTATTAAGAACAGCTAAAACGATCCTTTGTATAATCAGGAGACCTTAATTCGCAAAACTGGATTAAGTTGATACTGATTATCTTGTGCTGAATAAGAATTTTTACATCAATGTAAACTGTTGACCAACTAAAATCACTAAATTGAAGTTGAATCACTAAAAATAAACTTTATGTGGAGGACCCATCTTATCATATCATTAATTCGATATTATTTCCGGATAGGTCGTTTTTAACACCGAAGTTAAATAATTGAAAAGCCACATTCCTCATTATTTGCGTCAAAATTAACTTGTATTCATTTTGGATTTGACGGACTCATTCGCAATGTTAAAATGAGCAACTATAATATTAAAACTTTTCATATTCTATCCTTATTGTAATCCTGCCTTAAACTTCTATTATAAAGAGAACGTCGGATCTATAAAATTGTTAACTTACTGTGTAAAGTTATTATAAACTGGATCGTAATTTTAACATTAACCAGAACCTTCTTACGTGTAATAAAATAACGAGCCCTTAATATGTTACCGGGGAGTGAGAGTTGGGACTGCTTCGTCACTTTACGACTTTAGGAAACTTCTTTAATGACCTTCGTATGACCGAAGCTGGCTTTCCGGATAAACATTGGGTGTAAGGCGTCGTCGTAGCTAGCGTTCCAGAGATACTATGGCTTTTGTTTTGAAGACATATCTTCACCGCCTAATTGCCCTTAGCGGCGACCAGATGGCGAGTCTGCCGACACCCACTCCTTCTCTTTTACGAGAGTTCTACGTAGAGTTCACTACCTATAAGGTTACATCATCGACGATTTAAGTTCTATTCGTGAACTTTTAAATTGGGTAATATGAAGTTATCAATTTTTTATTTTTGTTTTTATTATTGTTAACGATTGATAAGGTTCTAAAATAAAATATGAAATGATAAAAAATACTTTGATTAACCTTGGAGATGTTGAAGTGACTGTTTCAATTCAATTTTTGCGAAAATTAGAAAACATGTATTTATTCGTTACGCTTATTTTGGTGTTAATTGTATTATTTATTACAGTGAAATTGAAAAAATATCAAGATATAAATCAGTTACCTGGCCCAGGTAGTTTAGAACTGATTAAATTTTTTATTTTTAGCAAATCAACGGAAGGTATGTTTTTAAATCTATTTTTACTACAAATATTATTATTTTCTAATAAACTTTTTAAGATATTTTGATCTATTTGATAAATTTGCAAGAAAAATATGGTAAAATAGTTAAAATTTGGGTGAAACCATTTCGACCACTTCTTCTCATCGCCGACCCAAAGTATTTCGAGCATATTTTGACATCAAAAGAACATCTTCATAGAACCCAAATATACGAGATGTTTAATACTATTAGCACAATTGGATTGGTAGCAAACAAAGACTGTAAATATGGAATAATTATTTGATTTTAAGTTTTAATGGAAAAAATTTTAGTGGCAGAGTGGAAAGCAGATAGAAAACTTTTCAACGCCATTTTTAGTACAAAAGAAATTGCAGAAAATATCAACTTTCAAAATTTCACGGAAAAACTTAAATCCAAAATTGACACTAACGAAAATGCCCCCTTAGATATACATGGCATTATTAATCGTTGGGCTATTTCTGTTGTTATTGGTTAATTTATTATGTTTAAATTTAAATATTTGTATTAAATCGCGATTTTTAGATTATTTAACCAATGACCATTTAGATGAAAACACAACTGATAAATTTATTAGTGCTGTCGATATTGTTTTAAAATTAACTGTTGAAAGATCATTTTCCCCACTCAAATTTTATGATTGGTCGTATAAATTCACAAAAGACTACGATATTACCACGAAAAGCGCTTCTTACATAAACAAAGTAGCACGTGATATTATTCAAAAACAAACAGAAATACGTAAAAATCGAAAAGGCGTTAGAAATGACTTTATGGATACTATTCTTTCAAAAAATTACAATGAACAATTTAAACAGGATCATCTAAAAACATTTATTATAGCGGTTTGTATTTAAGAAATTATTTTATAACATACAGCATTTTCATTTAATTTTAAAGGGTTATGAAACGGTATCATCAACAGTATCTTTCGCTTTGTTTGAAATTGCTAAAAAACCGAACATCCAAAATAAAATTCTAAAGGAGTATCTCGATATTGTTGGTACAAACGACTCTAACATTACATCTTTTGATATCAAATCAATGAAATATACCGAATTAGTTTTAAAAGAAACTATGAGAATGTACACTCCAGCTCCAATGGTACAAAGAACATTAAAATCACCAGTTACTGTAGAGAAATTTACTATTCCAAGCAATATAGATTTGATATTTTCAATTTCCGCTTTACATCAACTGAATTTCCCCAACCCAAATGAGTTTGACCCTGACAGATTTTCTTTTGAAAATATAAAAAATATAAACGCTTATGCTTACACACCATTTTCTCTTGGGCCAAGAGATTGCATTGGTAACGAGATTTGATCTAAATTGTGTGTAAATTAATTATAAAAGATATATTTCAGGACGACGACTTGCAATGATTGAAATGAAATACTTGCTTTCGTACATTGTTAAAAATTTTACATTGCACCCAGTGGAACCTGAACACAAATTAGATTTGGCTCTGGATTTAGGGTTGAAAAGTAAAAATGGTGTTCCTATTATTTTCAAGAAACGCATTATTTAATAATTGCGTAAGATTTATATTATAATTTTAAGTAACTTTAAATATTATTAAAATAAATAGCTATATTAAATATTTGTAACTCTTTAAAAGAAAAGTTTTCCCAGCCTAAACCTAAGGTAACCTTCTTAGTTCTTCTTCCTGGATCCTCAGTTTTTTGTTTCTATTCTTCGAATATTATAGTCACACATATCCTGATTGATCGTGGAAGATCAAATAATGGTTTGATAGGTTATTTATGGAGAAAGTACGGAACAAGAATACAGGAATAGGCACAAATACTCGACGAATATTAAAAAACGAGACGAATAGAAAAGAGCCAAGATTCGAATAAAAGGCAGGATGATTCAAGCAACGTCTGGAAAGTACTCAATTTCGCAAAGACCAAGAACTTAACTCGCTGCATATAAACGTTAAAAATATTTCATCGAACCGAATACGATGGTACAACCTGCCATAAGCGAAATGGTGACATTAAGAACTTGATCACCGCACAGTGGAAGACATCAAATTAGCACTGAGAAAACTAAAATAGAAGTCTCTGGGTCAGTATTGGCAGATATATGAATAAGAAAATCATTTCCATGGGAAAAGAATAATCTATCATCTGCTATAAAAGGGCGATTAAGGTCTAGAGGAGACAATGTATAGGCTTTTATGGATCTGGAAAGTATAGCCAAAATCACTGTTTTTATGATGTCATAACAGGCTAAAAACTGGATTGCAAAGAGTTCTATGTTGGTATCTCTCATTATACTCGAGCCAAAATTAAAATATCATAAAATTTTGCCCAACTCTGACAGCAAAGATCAGGCGAAATCATCCAATTCTCTTAGGAATTAAAGTTTTGCCGTCACTACAAGTAGTTGTTTCCGCTTACTGCATTGTTTATTCATGGCAGTCGTTTATTTAGGATAAATATCGAATAAGGTAATCAACCATCAAAATGATGCAAATAATAAGGTAAATAAAAACTGTTGAAATATTTTATTTTTGAGAGGCGTCTAACGTTTGACCACCATTAGCCAACTTGAAGATCATTAAAAAATAAACAAAATTATTGGGTATAGAATAATAAATGGTGACGTGATCTTTTCTTATAGATGATACAGTGAACACAGTGTAGATTAAGTACAATTAAGAATACTTCCATTACCAACATTGACAAAGATATTTATGCAAGATAACTTGACCTTTTCTTATAGATGATATAGTGAACACAGTGTAGATTAAGTACAATTAAAAATACTTCCATTACCAACGTTGTCAAAGACATCTGTGCAAGATTATCAATTGTAACTGATGATTTAAGGATTATCCCAAACATCTAGGATTACCTAAGTCTTATTCAACTATCCCTAATATATTCAATTTTGAAATATCGTATTTTTACTGTACGTGCTAATGGCTACACTTCAACAACCAGAAAATTGAAAGTTGGAGTTTTTCAAAGAAGCTCTCTCTCGCCAATACTGTTTAACATATATATGTACCTATAACGTACCCATGTCTAATCAGAGCAGTTGAGGGGAAGTATCACATGTCCTCTATCTACGAGAGTTCCTACCAAAACTATTTCATGGTTGCTATCAGAAGAATGTTCACCAGAAAAAGCTCTCAAGAGCATTTCTGTCAAGTGGAGATCCAGTTTTAGTAGCAAAATATTTGTATATTCACGAGTCAGAAAAGGAGCCCAAGGTTTTAATGAACGTTAATATAGAACAGACACATTCTTTATGTCCGAAATTTGGGGTCATGGTACGCCGAAAATGGATTCCCCTAAATCCGCGAGGTTGGGACAGTCACAAGCAATATGACTTATTGTCTCGTCTTCCATTTCACACATATAGAACACATGCTTACGTAACCTGCAGTGTCCTGTCAGGAAGTGGGTGAGAAGCCTTAAGTCACTTTTTGATTTTTTGAGGAACTCAATAGATCTCTTCCGGTCAGGGTAGAGCACAGTTTTCTTTGCAGAGACACCTACTACAGTTTCATCTCATCTATCGCAAAAAGCTCGATGGGAGATGGTGTTGATCAGCTTTGTTGCTGTATTAAAAGTTAGCGGTACAAACGGTTCAGGGGAAACCGGTGACTTCTTAGCCGTCCGTTTCGCCAGCATGCGGACATGATCGTGTCCCTTATTTCCGGTATGTCGTTGTTATTTCCGGTATCGTGACGTTGTTATAAACATAAGCTCAAGTGATTGCCGACAGGACTTTACTATCGATGATATAGTTCGATGCCTATTAAGCCCTGGCATACCCTGTCTGCTATCAGTGCAATATTTTTCCAAAATCTTTTACCTACAATAGTAAACATGCCATGAGCGTTAACTATATCCATAAGCACAATTGGAAAATAAGCTTTATATTATACAAATTGTTATACAATATTATACGTACAACTTATTATTAATAAATTATACAAAAAAGAAAAAACTTTGTTATGGCGATAACATCTTGTAAGACAAATAAAATAAAACAAGGATTTTTTAAGAAGAATTATTATATTAAGCCATGGCAGAAATGAAATTCATCATTTCTTAATACGACATTTTATGCTTTGTCTTAATCAACTCAAAAAATAATTGGATTTGGTTGTAGAATTTATTTCGAAAAGTAAAATATGAAAGAGAAAGAAAACTATAAACAAAATAATATTAAATGCGTTTTTTAAAAATAACAGGAAGACCGTTTTTGCTCCTTAATACAAAATCTCCCGTTAAATCTACATTATGTTGTGGCTCAACTGGATGTAGTGAAAAATATCTTACGATATAAACAATAAGATATTTCATTTCAACCAAAGCAAATCTCCTTCCTGTAAAAATTAAAAAAATTAAACAATGTTAATTCTAATAGACATTGAATTTACCAATACAATCTCTTGGACCAATCGAAAATGGTGTATATTCATAAGGATCTATATTGTCATATTCTTTTAAAAATCTCTCAGGATTAAATTCGTCAGGATTTGAAAAATTTTTATTATGCAGCGATGGAATCGAAAATACTAAATCAATATCTGCAGGGATAGTTACTCCGTCAATATCGATTGGAGTTTTTAATTTCCTTTCTGTGAACGGAATCGGGGGATATATCCTCATAGTTTCTTTTATAACAGCTTCTGTGTAGGTCATATTTTGTATATCATCAAAAGTAAATTCGTCTTTAAGACCAACAATCGATACATATTCATCGTATATATTTTTTTGAATATCTTCTCTTTGGGATATTTCGTATAAAACGAATCCAGTTGCTGTTGCGGTTGTATCAAAACCAGCCAAGATGAAAGTTTTAAGGTGTGAAAGGATCGAATACATGGATTGATGGTTTTCCATCAATACAGTTATAAAGTCTTTCTTTCCATAATCGTCCCTCTTTAATTGCAGTTTTTGAATTTCCTCTTCAAGAATTGAAACAAAAACATTGTCCATTGCTTCAGTACTTTTCAACCAAGGTTTATAATTTTTTGTAAATCTAAACAAAAAATCATTCGATTTATATACAGATTTAGCTCTTTCAAGCATTATTTCTAATGATTTTCCTTCAGCTGTAATTAATTTCGATGCTACTTTTTCAGAAATAATATCACCCGTTAAATACTCTATGATTATATACAAAGTTGTATAATAAACAATGTCATGGACATCAACAGGTTTATTTTCGTAAGATTCTAATAATTTTTTAAGTTTCTTAGCGTGATATTTTAATTTTGGGACATAATTTGCCACTGAAGATTGATTAAAAATATTGTTGAGAAGTTTTCTGTCACATTTCCATTTATGTACTAAAAAAATATATCAAAAAAAATTTTGTTTAATTATTTTTTTAACATACCATCTTTTGTTGTTGCTAATCCATCCCCCCCAAGAATGTTTAACATATCGTATAATTTTGTTTTATTGATATGCTCTTTAGATCCGAGTATATGCTCAAAATATTTTTTATCAGCTATAAAAAGTGCTGGTTTAAAAGGTTTTAGCCATATTTTCACAACAGATCCATATTTTTCAGGTAATGATATTAAATATTTGTAAAGATCTTAGAAAAATAATACATAAATGTTAAATATTAAATTAAGATTAGCGTACCTTCATTGGGATTTCCCAATACTAAAACTTGGAATAACTCCCACCATTTCGGACCTGGAACTTTATTTATTTCTTTATACTTTCTTAATTGGACGATAATATATACTACTATAAAACACAATAAAAATGTAACAACAACAAGGTACATCTTTTTATTTCAACTCAATTTATTTAGTAATCTTAGAATAAAAAATTTTTTGATAATTAGTTTTCCTTTTATGCCTTCAAATCAGTTAGGTTATTATTTATCATTACGACCTTCAGTCAGTAAATGGATATTAAAAAGATAATAAAAAAATTAAACAAAAACTTATTTAATTTGTCTTCCATGAATTACTTTCTTATCACTGGTAACATTAATTAACGATAGTAAATGTTTTGCTTGTTATATTAATTAAAATAGATGATTGTAGAAAATTTCAAGATAATCTAAACCAGATGATGAACAGAAATATATAAAAGTCTGTTAAATAAAGTCTAACTCCTTCCTGGACCGGATGTAGCGTTTACCATGGTTTAATAAGTTTTCGTCATCAAATAGTTACAAGACATAATTCATCTGTCAGGCTTTTATAAATTTAATGTTTTCATAAATCATGATTGATTTCAAAAAGCATAAATTTTGGTAAGGTATTTTTGCCACTAAATTATATTAGATTCAATGCTTGACGTGGTATCTCACATTATATGTACAAGCTGAAATCTAAAGGTCTCGTCATCCATCTAGCATGGTGCGTGGTACCTGACAGGTGTATTTTAATTTATTTTTATAAGCTGTATCAACTCTAGATATGATCTTTACTTATTTCTTTCATCAGTCCAGTTTGGTAAACACCAATTAATACATGTAATGGCAAGCAAAAATTACCACTTCTTAAGTAGATTATTGGGACAGATATGGAGCCGGGAGGAACGAATATTTGAAAAAGATTTATGCAGGCGGAAAATATAGTGAGAGAAGAGTTGAAGCTGGAGAAAATGGGCTGGAGCAGAGGAACGACTTTAAGACTTTAGGAGAGTGTCGGAGGAAGACACTCTCCCAAACAAGAAACAACAAGAATGAAGGGATTATTATGCCAGTGTAGGGTACTCAACAGAGGATGTACAGAGAAGGAGGAAGAAAGGGTTAATACTGTAGAAGGAGTTGAAGAGTAGAGATGTGGAAAAGCAGGAACGGCGTGCTCAGGTGGAAGAGAGGAGAAACAATAATAAATATACGGTCATAATAAGGGAGGAAATTCCGAGGTATTTGAAGTAGGAAGGTAGAGGGAAGGAAAAAAGTATGATTGCGTGATTCACGTGCGGGAATGAAGAGAGAGCGAATAAATATTGGATGGGGGATTAGGAGAGGATATGTAGATTGTGTGGGGTGTTTGAGAGACAATTGAGCATATGTTGAGGTGGAGCGAGAGAAAGGAGACTGTAAATGGCGGAGGTGATGAAGGAGAGGAGGAGGAGGGAGTATTAAGGTAAAGTATTTTATGTTTAGTTTTAATTATTGTAGCTATTATATTGAATATTAAAAGAACTACACCTCAATTAGGTATTTGTTCGACAAAAAGAAATCACAACAAAGAATGTGCAATTTATCTTTAAGATTCCAGTCAACAATTGCGTTTTAAACAACTTGTTTTTACTGTGTCAGGAGTTTTTCGTCCTATCACATCATTTTGAAAATTGTTATGGCTTCTGCAAGTTCTTTTCATTTGTTTGTACGAACTGTTTGAATTGAAAACTTATTTGTTGGAAAATCATCAGTCGAACATAATAATTGTGGGATCACAAGGGAGTTTGCGACGTCCATAAGTAATTTTTACTTGCCCTGCATATAGTTTCCATGATGCATTAAGCATTTTACACCTGAGGTTTTCAAGGGCTATGTAATGTAATGCCTAAATATTTAATGGTTGTTAGAACCGGTTCCTGATGACAAGCCTCTGTTTTTCTACTACCAAGGATTGATCACGAGCCTCCATTTAACTAAGAATTATTCCTATAATCTTACTTTGACTAGGTTTTGAGCGTAGATAGTCGTTGCAAAATCATCATCGTAGGTTATGAGGAAAAATTTTTGTTTCGGGATTTCCTCGAAGCCGTGTCATGTGCTGATTCTCATTTTCTTATTTTTTTTGTCCTTTCTTGGAGTCGTAGGTAAGTACACTCTTGACGAAATAGTTGGCTGTAATAAGAGTTATGTAATCCGGTAACAATTGCACAATTTTGTTTAAAGTATTATATGAATAGTAATTTATGGGATTTTCGATTTAAAGTGAGTTATCTTTATAAGTATAAATTGGCGACTCCTTAATTCGTTTTTCTATAACACAAATCTTTTTCTTTCTAAAACACTATAAGGTTATCATTTCTCGAGGTCAATTTCAGTGTGAAACACAACATCAAACTTTAAACGTTAAGATGAACTACTACCTTATCCTTGCTATAGTAATACTAATAATTGTTTTAATTAGCTTACGATTATTGAAATATCAAGCGATTAATTCATTGCCCGGTACAAATTGGTTGGAAGTGTTTAAGTTTTTGGTATTGAAAAAATCAAATTCAGGTAATTTTTGTTATAGAGTGACAACAATTTTTAGTAATAATACTAAATATTTTTAGATATCCTTAACTTCATTTTAAATTTACATAAAAGATATGGTTCTGTTGTTAAAATTTGGATAAAACCCTTTCGGCCTATTATAATTGTATCAGACCCAAAATATTTTGAAGCAATATTAGGATCAAAAGAACATTTACACAAAACGAAATTGTATGATATATTGCATCGCCTTGCTGGAGATGGATTAGGAACAGTGCGAGATGGTAAGTGATAAATCAACAGAAATAAATAAAATCTAAAATGACTTCGTTTATATGTTAGTGAAGCAATGGAAAGCTGATAGAATTTTTTTCAATCCACTTTTTAAACACAAATCCATATCCAATTACACTTTTAAATTAAAACGTCATATGGATGACTTTAAAAATGTTTTAATTACACATATAAACAGACCAGTTGATGTTTATTTCATTATACATCATTGCGCAATGTGTATGATATTAGAATATTTAATCGACGAGACAGTAAACGCAGAAACCACTACAAATATAATACACGCTATCGATAAAAGTTTTGAAATGGTGCTTGAAAGAGTGTATTCAGCCATAAAATCTAATGAGCTATTATTTCGATTTACAAGAATGTATCGAACATGGGAGAAAGTACACCAATTTGTGGATAATATATTCCTAGATTTAATTCATGAACGGATGAAGTTACGAGGCAATACTCCCACAGAAACGATTACAGAAAGAAAGAATTTGATGGATTTGTTACTTGAAAACGATTTTTCCGAAGAATACATAATGGGACATTTAAAATCGTTTTTTATTGCGGTATATTTCTCTCAGTAATTCTTATATTATAGTGTAAAATATTATTTTTGAAGGGATATGATACGGTTGCCACAACAACTTCATTTGCACTATTTGAAATCGCTAAAAGAAAAGATGTACAAGAAAAAATACTTCAAGAGTATTTGTCTCTAGCTGGAAATAACGAGGATTACATTCTTACTTTTGATGATCTTCACAATATGACATATACAGAATCAGTAATTAAAGAAACTCTGAGGATGTATCCTGTTATACCTGCTATAGAAAGAAAAGTAAAGTCACCTATAACTATAGGTACAAATATTATTCATTGGTAAATGTGTACCTAATTAGAATTAAAATAAATCGAATTGTAGACGGATTTTGTATCCCTGCTGATACTGATATTACGTTTTCCATCGCGTCTTTACATTATTCCAACTTTGCTAATCCGGAAGTGTTTGATCCTAACAGATTTTCCCCAGAAAATATTAATAAAGTGAAGCCATATTCATACGCACCGTTCTCTATTGGCCCAAGAAATTGTATTGGTAAATAATTTATTTTAACAGAATAACTTGTTATGTTGAATTAAATTGACATATTTTTGTTAATAAAAATATTTGCAGGTCAAAAATTTGCCATGGTTGAAATGAAATTTATCCTTTCGCATACTGTGAAGGAGTTTACGTTGCATTCAGTTCAACCTGAACACAAATTACAGCTGGCGATCGATTTTGTTTTAAAAAGCAGGAATGGTATGCCTATAATATTTAAAAAGCGATCCATGAATGAGATAAGAAAATAAAATGTATTGTAAAATTATTGTAAAAGTGAAATTCTCCTTTATACAAAACAAAGTAATAAATATAAAGGATTAAAGGATACAATTTTAATATTTTATTTATAATTTTAATGATCAAACAGCACGCATATAAATACATTCTGATATTTTAATGGAAATGACGGCAGTTCCAGGTGAGAGAAGAGTTCTAATCGCAAAAGATGGTGCGTTCCAAACTGGACGTCGCGCCTTTATTTTATCTACATAAAGAAATAAAGGCGCGACGTTCTGCCTTCGTATCGATCTCTAAGGTGAAGGGCCTTGACTATTGGCACGGATAGTAGAACTAACATTAGGTATAGAACTAGAAACTCTCGGATTAAGTGCGTCTTTTGAAAAAGTATTTGAGTATTCGGATGCCAAGTTGCAACAAGTTTCTAAAGAACTAGTTCTTCACCTCGAACTTGTTTCTGAAGTGCTAGATTTATGATAGTGCTAGTGCTAATTCTAGTTTTAGTTCAACATGTTTCCCATTTCTACTAGAAGCTGTAGAATAAGTTCTTCTGTAATGATATGAAGCTTCTTACATATCGCGATTTTGTAAGTCACCTTGTAAGATATTAACAAAGTATTGTTTCTTTATAATTTCCCGTCAAAAAATTATTGATTAGCCTCTAATAGCTTTCCAACATGGAAGGACTCTCTGTTGACGTAAAGCCAAACTCTAAACAACCATCATCATATTTACGATATCTCCGTTTCTTCACATTTGTGTTACTGGCAGAGGACGAAACGAACATTTTTTATATCCACTATTACATTTATTACTGTTAGACTGGATCATATAGTTCACATTATTCCAGTCTAGTAACCCAGCAAGTCAATTCAGTCCAGTACTGGATTAGATCATATCGTTTACATTATATACCTACAATAAACACATTTGTTCTCTGTATAAAGAAACAAACGAAAAAGTTTGGTTTGAAGTTAACGTCATTATGGAATCTACACTATTCCAGTGGCGCTGGAATGGGCGAGCTGGAGTGAAAATGTAGACTTCTCAATCCAGTCACTGGACTTTAATTCTTCATCAAATTTGGTTGAAAATGGTCTTTATTTCATGATGATTTCTGAATTCGTTCTTGAAATACGATTTTTTTTAATTTATATTTCATATAAATAACAAACAGCAGAGTTCGATTTAAAAAATCATAACAATGATGTTTATGCAACATAAAAGATTATTTATGGCACATTAATTCTTCATCAAATTTGCTTGAAAATGTTCTTTATTTCATGATGATATCTCCATTCGTTCTAGAAATAATATTTTTTAAAATTTAAATTTCATATCTTTAACAATCAAACATGCATAGTTAGATTTAAAAAACCATAAAAGCGATGTTTATGGAAAATAAGAAATTATTTATGGCACATTAAATCTTCATCAAATTTGCTTCAAAATATGCTTTATTTCATTACATCTCAATTTGTTCTTGAAATACGATTTCTTAAAGTTTATATTTCATATCTATAACACTCAAACATGGAGAGTTGGATTTAAAAGATCATAACACCGATGTTTGTAGAAAATAAAAAATTATTTATGGTGCATTCAATCTCCATTAATTTTGCTTTAAATTGCTTAAGTATGTAAATTAAATTATTTTGAACGCCGAAAAATATCGCGATTTCGGAATGTGGATTTTGTATGTTGTTTAGCCGGTTTTTATTGAATTCTATCAACGTAGGTTATCTCCATAAAAAAATTCAGAGTTTGCGTATCTTATGATATACGAATTAGTTCTTATCAACTTTTCGTTTCAAGTCGGTGTAAAATTGTCACGTCTCAAAATATACTTTAGTGTATAACCACATAATATCAAACTTTAAACAATTTTATAGAGTTTAAAAAAGTATTTTATTAACATGAATTACTTTCTTATCCTTGCTATAGTAATACTAATAATTGTTTTAATTAATTTACGATTATTGAAATATCAAGCGATTAATTCATTGCCCGGTCCAAATTGGTTGGAAGTGTTTAAATTTTTTATTTTAAAGAAATCAAATTCGGGTAATTTATTTATATGTTATTTTATCGTTAGTAATACTGAATATTTTTAGATATCTTGAGTTTCATCTTAAATTTACATAAAAAATATGGTCCTGTTGTTAAAATTTGGATAAAACCTTTTCGGCCTGTTTTAATTGTATCAGACCCAAAATATTTTGAAGCTATATTAGGATCAAAAGAACATTTACATAAAACTAAATTGTATGATATATTGCATCGCCTTGCTGGAGATGGATTAGGAACAGTACGAGATAGTAGGTATTAAATTAACAGAACTAAATACAATCTAAAATGGTTTCGTTTATGTGTTAGTGAAACAATGGAAGGCTGATAGAATTTTTTTCAATCCACTTTTTAAATACAAATCCATATCCAATTACACTTTTAAATTAAAACGTCATATGGATGATTTAAAAAATGTTTTAATTACACATATAAATAGACCAGTTGATGTTTATTTAATTATACATCATTGCGCAATGTGTATGATATTAGAATATTTAATCGACGAGACTGTAAACGTAGAAACCGCTACAAATATAATACACGCTGTCGATAAATGTTTTGAATTGTTGCTTGAAAGAGTGTATTCAGCTATAAAATCTAATGCTGTATTATTTCGATTTACAAGAATGTATCAAACGTGGGAGAAAGTACACCAATTTGTGGATAATATATTCCTGGATATAATTCATAAACGGATGAAGTTAAGAGGCAATACTCCCACAGAAACGATTACAGAAAGAAAGAATTTGATGGATTTGTTACTTGAAAACGATTTTTCCGAAGAATACATAATGGGACATTTAAAATCGTTTTTTGTTGCGGTATATTCTTTCAGTAATTCTTATATTATAGTGTAAAATATTATTTTTGAAGGGATATGATACAGTTGCGGCAACAACTTCATTTGCACTATTTGAAATCGCTAAAAGAGAAGATGTACAAGAAAAAATATTTCAAGAATATTTATCTCTAGCTGGAAATAAAGAGGATTATATTCTTACCTTTGATGATCTTCACAATATGACATATACAGAATCGGTAATTAAAGAAACTCTGAGGATGTATCCTGTTTTACCTGTTATAGATAGAAAAGTAAAGTCACCTATAACTATAGGTACAAATATTACTCATTGGTAAATATGTACCTAATTAGAATTAAAATAAATCGAATTGTAGACGGATTTTGTATCCCTGCTGATACTGACATTACGTTTTCCATCGCGTCTTTACACTATTCCAACTTTGCTAATCCGGAAGTCTTTGATCCTAACAGATTTTCACCAGAAAATATTAATAAGGTGAAGCCATATTCATATGCACCGTTCTCTATTGGCCCAAGAAATTGTATTGGTAAATAATTCATTGTATTTTTTATTTTACGAAAAGTCCGTTTCTCGAAACAGAATAACTTGTTACGTTGAATTAAATTGGCATATTTTTATTAATAAAAATATTTGCAGGTCAAAAACTTGCCATAGTTGAAATGAAATTTATCCTTTCGCATACTGTGAAGGACTTTACGTTGCATTCAGTTCAACCTGAACACAAATTACAGCTAGCGACCGATTTTCTTTTAAAAAGCAAGAATGGGATGCCTATAATATTTAAAAAGCGATCCAATAATGAGATGAGAAAATAAAATTTATTTTAAAAAGTATATGTGTTGAAAACCACCTTTATACAAAACAATGTAATAAATATAAACGATTAAAAGATACAGTTTTAATATTTTATTAATAATTTTAATGATCGAAGCACGTATAGATACATTCTGATATTTTAATAAAAATGTGGAAAGTTCCTCTTGATAACCGTGTCGATACAACTTTTATGCTTGGACTACAAACATAAAGCAAATATTAGAGAACCTACAAAATATTATTAACACAGTCGTTTCCAACTTTTCGTAGTTGCGAAAATACTGCTATGAGATATAAAAATAAATAAAGCTCGCGTAATAATTATAATTAATGTGATGCCGAAAATACAGCGTCGCATAGACACAATGTCAAAAAAAAAATTAAAAAGAAACAGAAATAAGCTATGCTTTGAGAGGGGGTTCCGTCTAATCGGAAAGGTGGTGTGTTCCAGACTGGACGTCGCGCCTTTATTTTATCTACATAAAGAAATAAAGGCGCGACGTCCTATCTGGACCACACACCATCTTTTCCGATTGGATGGAAACCCTCTCTTCCCACATGCCTTATTACTGTTCTTTTTTAATTTATAATTCGCGATTTACGCTCTAAACAAATTAGAGAGCCATACCTTTGAAAATATGATAACGGGATTCGACAAACGTAATTATTTACCATATTTTGGTTCAAACCGCGAAACATCGAAAAGTTAAAATATGCCCCTCATTAAGATCACATCATTGTACCACCTGTCCAAATTTGAAATTTTTGGATAAGTGCGTCTTTTCTACCTTCTTGTACCATCTTAAGAGACTTGTACACTTCGAACTTGTTTCTGAAGAACTTGTTCTTCACTTCTAACTTGTTATGATAGTGCTAGTGCCAGTGCATTCCACTGCCAGTTCACATTATTCCAATAGCTAGAATACTACCAGTCGAGTCATCTAAACCAGTGCTGGAAATCCACTGGAATAATGTGAACTAGATATTAATCAAATTCATGCCACTATCTCAACGTGTCTAATTTGATTCCATGAGACGATAGAGAATAAGCACCGTTGCTGAGAACAAGCAACTTAAGAAACACTGATCGCGAATCCTTCATTTAATATAATCGAGGAACAATTATCACATTTATCGTTTATTCAAAAAAGTATTTTCATCCCGTTTCGAGTCACCCCATTCTAGATTCATACTTAAATACAATCATCGAGGGGTCTGTCTATCTTGTAGCATTCGTGTTTAGTAAAACTGTAAACATTCTTTTCCATTTTCCCCTTCACAATATGTTATCGTACTTTACTAAAACCTTGTTATCTTTATGTGCGTGTTAATAATTGTTTTATTTTGCAGTAATTTTACTTTATGTTTCACGTTTAAAGTCTGTTCCGGGAAAGGCCGCCTATTTTAAGCGGCCTTTCAGCACTACACAATACCGAGATTACATTACATTGTGCTTGCAGGTTTTTATTTAATTAAGGTTAAACTATGTAATATAGATATTAAAATCATAAATTTGCTATTTCCTGAACAGTTTAAAGAAAGTGAATTGCGAAGTCTTTATTGCAAAAATATAGCGATGGTAGATTTTCATGCAATTTCATCGATCAAAACTTAGATTAATGATGTGTTACTTCGTGCAATAAGCACACATAATCGCCTACCTGTTTTGTGGCTTACTTTTTGATACATTTTAAACACGATATTCGCATTGAAATACAAACATCACTGTCGATTTGCTTCGAAAGACAAGCTGTACTCAAATAACTGTTTAAATTCTGCTTTTATACAACTAAATACCATCCAATAAACTCGACACAAACAATAAACGCAGGTATGTGAATACAGAGCGGGCAATAGATCTAATTAAAAACTGAATAAAATACTTTAAATTTTGGTAGTTTTTACTGTAATAAAGTTTTATTAATAATACTTTTATTTGTATTGGGATTAAAAATATATAACACTTTTTTTTAATGAAAATTCATTAATATTTTCGCTAATACGTTAATACATTCATACTATCTATGTAACATAACCTGAGATAATGTGAGCATAAGAGATTAAGTAATTAAAATGCAAAATCGTTCATTATCTTATTGTAACTTTGTACACAAGGTTATCTGGTCAAAAAGTATCGTTTTATTAATTTCAAGTATATTCATACACAAGAAAGTAATTCGTTAACATGTATTACTTCTTAATTTTTTTTATATTAATATTAGTAACCATTTTAATTATATTTGGAATATGGAAATACGAATCAATCAATAAATTACCTGGTCCAAACCTATTAGAAGTTTTAAAACTTTTTGTTTTAAATAAATCAAGTACTGGTAAGTCGAGTGCAACTTAAAAATTTTCTACATTATAATCAAAAATGTTTTAAGACCTTTACCACATCATCTTAAACTTACGTGAAAGATATGGCCCTGTTATTAAAATTTGGATAAAACCCTTTAGGCCTATTTTAATTGTATCAGATCCGAAATATTTTGAAGTTATACTTGGTTCAAAGGTACATTTACACAAAACTAAATTGTACGATTTATTACGTAGTATTGCTGGAGATGGATTAGCAACAATTTCAGATAGTCTGTATGTCATAAAAAAAATTAAAAAAATAAAATCAACTTTGTTTTAGTTGAAAAATGGAAATCTGATAGAATCTTCTTTAATCCCATTTTTAAACACAAATTTGTTTCTAGTTATACTAACAAATTAAAATATCATATAGATAATCTTAAACAAGCTTTAATTACATACGAAAACCAACCAGTCGATGTGCATATAATGATACATCATTGTACAATGTATATGATATTAGAGTATTTAATCGACGATGATATAAGCGTTGAAACCGCATCAGATATTGTGCATGCTGTGGATAAAAGCTTAAATATGACCATTGAAAGAGAATTCTCCGCTATAAAATCGAACAGTGTATTATTTCCTTTTACAAAAATGTATAAATCTTGGGTACAAGTTCATGAATTTTTGGATAAAATATTTAGGAATTTTATCCATAAACATATAAATTTAAGAAAAAATGGTCCCACAAGACCAAATCCAGAAGATAAGAACTTGATGGATTTATTGCTTGAAAACAATTTTTCTGAACATGCAATAATGAGTCATTTGAAGACGTTCGTCATTGCGGTATTGTTTTTATAAAAATCAACTTAATTTATATGTAATATCAAATATTACATTTTAAGGGGTTTGGTACAGTTGCTAAGACCGCTTCATTTGCTTTATTTGAAATTGCCAAACGAAAAGATATACAAGACAAAATACATAAAGAATATTTATCTTTAGCTGGAACTAATAAAAATTACGTTTTTACTTTTGATGATATTCAAAACATGAAATATACTGAATCGGTAATTAAAGAAGCCATGAGGATGTATCCTGCTGTGCCTATGGTAGAAAGACAGTTAAAATCGCCTGTAATTATAGGTAATTTAAAAAAATTATAATGAAAAGAAAATCTATTAATAATAATTGCAGATGGACTTTGTATTCCTAAAGATATCGATATTGTATTCTCCATCACGTGTTTGCACAAGTACAATTTTTCAAATCCGGAAATATTTAATCCTGACAGATTTTCACCGGAAAATATAAGTGATGTCAATCCATATTCATATGCACCGTTTTCATTGGGACCAAGAAATTGTATAGGTTAGTAGTTTTAATTTTTGGAATCTTTTATTAATAGAAATAATAATTTTAGGGAAGAAAATTGCCATGATTGAATTGAAATATATCATTTCGCACATCATAAAGGATTTTACATTGCATTCAGTTCAACCGGAACATAAATTAGAGTTAGCTAACGGATTTACATTAACAAGTACAAACGGAATTCCAGTTATTTTTAAAAAACGGGTCATATCATAATAACAATGTAATCCTCTTTTCATATAATACATTTTAAACATTCATAAAAATCAATAGATTTTTTGAATGATTATTACACTCTACCCTACTTTCTGTAACATCGATTCTGGCAAATTAAGGTATTGTATCTCAAGCAACCTGTAATTCATGTAGCGTTTGCCTCAGCGGAAGTGATCATCTGCAAATCGGTCCAAAAATGCCTTACAATATAGGGACGAACATCATTCTTTAAGAAAAGTGTGTTTCTAACTACGGAAGAAATGCAAGAATATGGTGTTCCACCACCTCTTCCATATATAGCTGGTTGGTCATATTGTGCTATAGAATAAATAAAAATTAAATTTCTCTCATAAATTATAGAACCCCATTCCATAATTCCTACAGTTTAGTGCACTTGCCTCGCAGTATTAAGTCGAGAATTTAATATGGTGATATTTCCCGTCTATTTTTCATATGACAAACATGTCTCTTCAAACATAATAGGGATTTATGAATGCAAACAACCATTCCACCATATGCAACATAGGAAGTCTGCAAATTCCCGTACGTTCTTAATGGAGGTCTTAGCACACTCGATATATACATCCCATAGCTTTTGCCATCTTGCATACATTATACTTCTACTTTTTTCCTTTTCCTGGCCTCTACCTCTCCACTGTAGAAATTATCCCTTGCAGTCGTCACATATATGGTTGATTTTCTCCCAACCGATCTCAACATATTATCATATTTCTTGTATTTCAAAGCACTTTCCCATACCGGTGCTTCGTATACCGTTATTGATTTTATTAGGGTAGCTAAGAGGTTACGTCGTGCTTGGCTCAGGCCTCATTTCCTAGGCATCATTCTAGCTAAGCTTGTCTCAATTATACTAGCCTTTTCCATTATCTTTCTTATGAGTTCCGTCACTCGAAGATCTTTGTCCAAAAAAACTCCAAATATTTGACAAATGGGGATAGTTTTTTTGAACCCAACGCAACCCAACTCAACCCTACTCAACCTAACTCAACCCTCAACCGAATTTATTTGAGAATTGGTCTCTTGCTGCCATAAGTCAAAGATAATAGTTCTGCTGATTTATTCTTTCACACCCCATGGTTCAGTTTTCGCAAGGTTCTTGACCTTTCCAACATAATGCCTAAAACCACCGCCAACGATTCTTCGATTCGCTTAATTGACGATAATATACTGTCGAAGAAAGAGATTATTGATTGACAAATTATTATTAATAACAAATATTACAAGATATATTATTATTTTCTAACTTAAGTTTTTTATTCTTGAAATAATCACTAATATATACGTAGGAGGCGATTACGGAAGGATAATATAGATAGAGTTGGTAACAAGAACTTTATGGATTTAATCCTCGAGAGTGGACTTCCGCAAGACTCCATAATCTCCCAAATGAAGACGTTCATTATAGCGGTAATTCTGCCAGTTATTTTCTGTTTTATTTTGCTATTAAACTTTATAATTAACCCCTGAAGGGCTATGATACAACCGCAGCAACAGCTTTGTTTGTTCTATTTGAAACTGTCAAAACTACCAAATATACAAGAAAAGATATTTGGAGATATCTATAGATATGGAAGAAAATAACTACGTCGCATAAAATCAAAACATTAAATTTAAAATATTATCAATTTATTATCTTCCGACCTTTACATCCATGCTAAAAACTTTCGTTTTTTATTCAATACCATATTGTATATGTATATTATTAAAATGTGATAAGTTAATCGTTTCATAACGATAAACGCTTTATAATTACTTCGTTCTATTTAACATTAAATACATAAACGTTTTTCGTTCTCACACGAACATGTATTTTCTTTATGTGTTCATTATACTTTTAATTTGGTATTTATGGACAAGAAATTTAAAAAAATATGCCGATTTAAATCAAATACCTGGGCCAAGTTGGTTGGAATTGATTAAATTCAATCTGCTTAATTTGGACAATGAACGTAAGTGAAAATTAAATTATTCGATTTGACTTAAAATTTTATTTATTTTGTAATTAGATGTTTATAAATACATACTTTCGCTACCACAAAAGTATGGTCCAGTTGTTAAGTTATGGTTAAAACCTTTTCGTCCGTCAGTTTTTGTAACTGACGCAAAATGGTTTGAGGAAGTTTATGGATCGAAAGAACATTTACAAAAGCCGATGATGTATAAATTACTTCATGGATTAGCTGGGAATGGGTTAACCACAAATCTTGATCGTATTAATATTTAATTTTTTTAATATTAGTAATTTTATAATCGATAATTGCAGTGACTCAATGGAAACATGATCGCAAATACTTCAACAACGTTTTTAGTCTAAAACATATAACATCTTATTCAGGAAAATTTATACGCCACGCTGAAAAATTAAGAAAAGATCTTGAATCATACGAAAATAAACCAGTCGATGTCCATTTAATTTTAAAACGATGTACTTTATTTATAATTTTAGATTATCTATCACAGGAAAATATTAACGAGGAAATTGCAACTGATTTAATAAATGCAGTGGATGGACATTTCGAGTTATTTTTGAGCCGCGCTTTTTCTTTATACAAATCTAACGATTTTTTATTTCAATTTACTGAAGATTATAAAAAATATCAACAATACACAAATACTCTTAATGAAATAGTCACAAACATTTATCATAACGAGGTACGACTTCGAAGAGAAAATGCAAATAAAAGTAGTAACAAACAATTCATGGATTTAATCTTAGAAAGTGAACTTCCCCCTGAATCTATAATCAATCAAATGAAAACGTTTATTGTAGCGGTAAGTTTATATTTTTTAATTCGTTTTTATTATTACTAATTTATTCTAATTAGGGTTATGACACAACAGCAATTACAGCATCTTTCGTTCTTTTTGAAATCACAAAAAGACCAGATATACAAGAACGCATACTTAATGAATGCTTATTTATGGAAGAAAGTAAACATGAAAATTCAACTACTTACATTGATTTACAAAGTTTAACTTACACAGAAGCAGTAATAAAAGAAACCATGAGGATTTATCCAGCTGTTCCGTTAATTGGTCGAAATTTAACCGCACCTTTAACTATAAGTAAACTTATTCCAATAAGATTTGAAGTATTAAAATAATAATTTGAATTTAATTTAAGATGGTTTAACTCTTCCCGCGGATACAGATTTGTTATTTTCATTACAATCTTTGCACGAAATGAATTTTCCAAATCCTAAGGAATTTAATCCTGATAGGTTTTTACAAGAAAATCTACATGATATACCGCAAAATATTTATGCACCATTTTCGTATGGACAAAGAGATTGTATTGGTAATTTAATTTTAATTATAAAAGAAAGTATCGAATTGTTTTGATTTAATTTTGTAGGAAGAAAAATTGCTATGGTTGAAATGAAGTTTATCATTTCGTTTATTATTAAACATTTTACATTGCACCCAGTTCAACCTGAACACAAATTGGAAATCGCCGGAGAATTTGCGTTAAGAAGTAAAAATGGTATTATTATTAAACTAAAGAAACGAATTTAATCCGTTTATTATTGTAAATACTTCATGTTGTGTTTATTAGGAAAATAAAGTAATACAAGTATAATTATTATCGCGTTTCTCTTTAATAATATGAAAATAAATCATACTGTCATAAAAGATTATCGGTCCAAACAAGATGTATTTTCTTTGTGTAATAATAATAGTCTTTGCTTAGTATTTCGCTCAGATACAATTTCCTAAATAGAAGTGGTACTAAAACTTTCATGGATTTAATCATATAAAGTGAACTTTCCACGGCATTTATAATCAATCAAATTAAAACGTTTACTAAAGCGGTAAATTTTTGATGTTATTCATTAAATTACAGAGATTTAATACCATCAAGCTTTTGAATACGAAACGAGTATTTTTCCTCAATTAGATTTTATTAACAATCGATTTTAGTAATAAAACAGTTTTAATATTAACGATACTTGTTCCAAACATGAAATATCCGAATAAATTATAATTATGTCTTCATAATTGGAATTGATTATAATTTACAATATTAAATTTATCAATAAAATAAATAAATAAATTCAATACAACATTAAAGAGTCAATCCTGAAACCATACAAAATATCGAGTTCTAGCAGGATGGCTTATAATATGGCTCCTGACATTCGACATTTTTGGAGAAACCTTATACACTTTGACTTTATGGACCTTTTTAAATCTTCTTTTTAGGATTATTATTACTATTATAAGAAAAACCAGACGGGATACTAAATAACAAAAGGAATTGTATAACTACACTAACCAGACACTAAAAGAAAAAGTAAGATACCAGATTACAAATAGTTGTATGGTTGTCATGGTGTAAGAAATAAATTATTTCTTATTCACAACATGAAAGAAACCAGAAAGACTGGTACAGATTGGTACTGAGAACCAATTCGATTTAGGCCAGGTGGTTACTATCCTTCAAATGGGGTACTTTACGCTTTATTGTCTTCTGATTGGGGATGTGCAAACACATCCTTGTACTATGTAGCTATTGTTGTCAAAAACAGTTACGTTTCCATCAACCCAAAAAATCCCATCCTATCCCAATACAACCCAGCGCAACCTAAAGTAACGCAATCCAACCCAACTCAACCCAACCAAACCCAACCCCAATCTAACTTATTTGAGAATTGCCATATGTTAAAACTAATAGTTCTGCTAATTTATTCATCCACATCCCATAGTTCTTCTTCCGCGATGTTCCTGACTTTCCTACACAATGTCCAAAACCACCTTCGCGCAAACCAACATTCGACCGACGGCGAATTTGCTTAACACACGATAATTTCCACTTTGGCACACTCTAGGCATATTCACAACATAAAAGAAACCAGAAAGACTGGTACAGATTGGTACTGAGAACCAATTCGCTTAGGCCAGGTGGTTACTATCCTTCAAATGGGGTAGTTTTCGCTGCTTTGTTATCTTCTGATTGTGGATGCGTAATTACAACAAGTGTAGTTACAACTATGTAGTTATAGTTGTCAAAAACAGTTATGTTTCCATCAATCCAAAATATCCCATCTCATTCCAACGCAGCCAAACGCAACCTAACGCAACACTACGCAATTCAACGCAACGCAACGCAACGCAACCCAAACCAACTCAACCCAACCCCCAACCCAACTTATTTGAGAATTGCCATAAGCCATAGATAATAGTTACAGTTATGTTTCCATCAACCCGATAAATACTATCATTATTTTTTTCACTAAGACTAGAATGGCAATGGATGGGACATACACTAGTAAAGGCACATAACAATATAACAAGATAATCTCTTGATTTTTGTATAATACGAAAGTAGCGAATCAGATTACCTTACTTAAATTACCTAATTTAAGTCCTCATTGGGACCTAATTGCAAAAGAAGAAGAGATGACATGGAATCAAATAAAGGTACAAACAAATACAAACACATGGAGTTGGCTGCCCCACTGGCAAAACAAGCAAAGAAATAGTGATCAACGGCTCTTATAGTCTTAAAATGTATGGAGTTAGAGTCTGGTGCAAAAAAAATTCAAGATGCCTCAGTCGCCCATAAACTTTCATGAATCTAACGAGCATATTGAAGTAGCGGCATCTGGTGCAATAAGTACCATGCCAACACTAGGTATTTACACCGAGAAAGTGGGTCGGATAATTACACTGCCAATTCGCTCAAATTTTCTAAACTGTTCCGGTGTCGGAAACCATTTTAAAATCATTAGGGTAGCTTACTACCTAGGTATGTACTGTACACTATTCCAGGCAAGAGTACAAAGTCCGGCTAAGAAACGGATAGATTTTGGTAAGGTTGGTAACTCGTGGCGATCTGCCATTAAACAAAACTTGCTATATAACATAACTGATACATTTATGAGAAGAAATCTACATGAAGATCAACAAAACCAACAACATATCTGATTTTATGACGCATGATCACTCGATATTTTCGAGAATGAAGCTGAAAATGCTGTAACTGTTAATTCTGAATTATACGTTTAATAAGCCAGAACTTCCTCACATTACAACTCGACCTATATCTAGTGAGTGTAAACATACTTTTTCAGTAACCGGGACAACAAACTGCAAGAACCTCAATGAATACTGTGAATGCATTGGCCTTGTCGGATTTGCGACGTAGCAGCCTGCACCGTCTTTATATAGGTATGTCTAAAAAATTAAGTGTTCTAAACTGATCCACCCAGGACATTCCCAGTCTTCAAACAACGAATTCAGTACGAAATTACAACTATCAAAAATTTACATTCCAGAAAAATGTTGTAAGATATTTTCATCATAATTCTTTGATAACAAAATTATTTCGGAAACCATCTCGTTTCATAGGTTTTCCATGTATTTACCACTGATGTGAGTTTCAAAGTATTGACATGAAATTCTTCTTGAGAAAGAAGTAGAGAGAATAAGAACAACAATTTTTTCAGAGTCAAGCAGCTCTTAAGCACTACAAGTCGTGGAAGCAGTACAGGCACTTATTGATGTCTTCAGAAAATTAAAGTAATTAAGGGTGTAAATAGGGTCGTTGGACAGTTTCTGACAGTTTCAAATAGGCACTGCTAAAGCATATATGAGACCAGAAACGACAATTGGTATGACATTTGTGGTGGCAAAAAGGTGGGTTGAGGGAAGATTTCTCCAAGATTGAGAGATGTAAGCAAGTTTATTGATATCGTATCGTATTGTCATAAATAAGATCGAGCACAAGAAGGCTGTTGACGACAACCTTCTTGTTTCAAAACTTCAGCAATTTCAAAATTCGATAACTAGCTAATCAGAAAAATTTCCTTCTACATTTACAGAAGATTCTAGACTTACGTTTGAGAGATACAATTGAGTGTAATCAAATTTTTTTGATACATTTCTGAAGTTCAAAGCTTCTGATGTCGTTGCCTATTCAAACTGTTTATTGTTTTCTTCCAGATGATTTAGGAAAGCATGACAGTGACATTAAGTGTAGTGTGCCATTTCGGCAATGTTGCATAAAAGTTTTAAATCCTAAATAACTCCAGTAAACTATAAAAATAACCATATTTTTCTCCATTTCCGTTTCATGAACCTATATATCAATTTTGAAGAGCTCTTTTTCTACCTTGGCGTGTCGCGAATAAATTTAAATGTACCCGATAGCAGGATGTTTATCTTTATATCTACATTCCGTATTTGATGGATTAAACGAAATAATATTCGAGAGATTACATTAAGCAACCATAATAAGACGTAATTGAGATATTTCTTTGTCATAAAGTTATCAATTACGCGTTAATAACAAAAAAATATATAATTAAAGTTTTTTATCTTATCTTGGTTGGAGTTATTATTAAATAACCTTCCTCGCAAAAACAGAAATCAAAAAGAATTGTGTTTCAAAATAATTCGCTGTTCGTAATGTATATTTTTATAACACTTATAATTGTTGTATTAATTTTGATTATTAATCTTCAACTTAAACATTATAGTAATTTAAATAACATACCAGGACCGTCTAGTTTAGAACTTCTCAAAGTTTTCTTATTTTCCAAATCAAATTCAGGTAAAACCATCTAAAATTATTTATTTATGTTTTAGCAAGATTTTTTTAGATGTTACAAAATACTTTAGATCTATTTTTAATAAGTATGGCCCCGTTGTTAAAATATGGATAAAACCTTTTCGCCCAATGATAGCAGTTTGCGATAAACGATATTTCGAACAAATTCTATCCTCAAAAGATCATGTTCATCGCACACCTGCCTATAAGCTGTTTGATGCTATGTTTGGAAATAGCATAGTCACAGAACATGATAGTTAAAAATTAAATGAATCGATTTAAAATAATGTATTATCTAATAATTTTTATTTTTTAGTCCCACGTTGGAAATCAAACAGAAAAGTAATATCATATGCATTTTCAAAAAAGGCTTCTATGAATAATTCAGAAATAATTCGTTATCACAGCGAAAAATTAGGAGAATATTTAGAATCTAACGAAAACGTTGTAATCGATTGTCAAACGATTTTAACCCGTTTTACTTTGCAAGTTATGGTTGGGTTTTTAATGAAGGAAGATATTAGTGATAAACCCCAAGTTTCAGAAAAAATTATCAAATCATTAGAAACTTATCAAAAAATTTATTTGGAAAGGGTATATTCGCTTTATAAAATCAACAACTTTATGTTTCAATTCACAAAGAGTTACAAAACATGGATTACGTCAGCTTTAAATGTAAAAAACACCGTCGATGAAATTATACAAAAACAAATAATTGTTAGAAAATCGCAAGAAAAACATATTGAGAAAATGGATTGTTTTGATATTTTACGATTTCACGGGTTTGAGCATAACCATATTCTTAGTGAATTAAAAACTCTTATTATGGCTGTATGTTGTTGGATAAATTTGAGAAAAATTTTAACTAAATAATTTAAACAAATTCTAGGGTTATGAAACAACAGCGCAAGTTCTTAGTTTTGTTTTTTATGAAGCAGCTAAACGAGAAGATGTCCAACAAAAAATATTCGAAGAATACATTTCTATTTTAGGTGATGACGGGAAAATAAATTCTGATAACTTAAACGAACTCAAATTTACGGAAAGTTTTATTAAAGAGTGTATGAGATTGTATCCACCTGCTCCACAATTTCAGCGACGAATTAAATCTCCCATCACCATTGGTAATTTTAATTAAATTTGATTCAATTTAATAAAGTTGTTTGAATCAAATTCCATTTAGGTGAAGTTACAATTCCTCAAGGAACCGACGTTTTATTTAACACTTACGAAATGCATCTTTCAAGTGATAATTACAAAAACCCATTGGAATTAATTCCCGGAAGATTCCTTCCTGAAAATGTTAATGAAATCGATCCGTTTTCTTTCGCTCCATTTTGTGTTGGTCCAAGAGATTGTATAGGTAAATATTGCAATAAAAAAGTTGCAAAGCTAATTTTTGTTTTAGGAAGAAAATTTGCAATGATAGAAATGAAGTATATCACTTCCCACATAATTGGAAATTTTATTCTTCGCCACCCAAAGCACAAAATGCAATTGGGTATTGAGATTACATTAAAAAGCGAATCCGGGTTACCTGTTATATTTAAGAAAAGAAATTAAAAATATAAAATAATAATTGCGCGATGAATTTTTTTTAATTTAACAACTCTCACCGTCATTAATAAAGTGAAAAGTTTTCGTCACCAGAAGGATACTGGGAACCTGCTGGGCGTAATAAATTTTATCGCGTCGGCGGGCAAGTTTCGCCAGCGGTCATGCCATTTGCTAATGGGACTTGTTCTTGTTCATTATTTACGAAACTCCGTGGCTGCGTTATTCGCCGGCAATTGGCCTAAGGGGACAAAGAGAATACGAAAGGCCGAGAGTGAGGTGTGAAAAATAAGGCGTTTGAGTTGAAAATAGAAAAGGTGGGGAATCGTGGTAACAAATTAAACTTGGGAGATGTAACGCGTCAGGCAAAGCGATTCCCCCGGAAAAGTCCTCGATCGTAAAGTTCGAAAACGGGCCTTATTTGGGATCGTAAACCCGGCCGTAAACGCAGCACGCTATGGTGGCAATCAAAAACTCCGCCGCTGTTACTTTTTATTAACCGGGGGGCAATGAATTTTAAAATCTCAACCATTTCAACCCACAAAATATACGTTATTACACAGTACCCTCTACATGAAAAAAATGTAGGGGATGTGTTTAAATTTATGTTTGACAAAGAAAATAACCGTATAAGGTAAAAGATGGTGTAGCAAACTGACCCTCTATATTCAAACTGCCCATCAAATCGCGGAGCCTCACCCAGTAGGTTCTCAACCTTAACAAGGTGATCCCCCCGAGCAGTTCCATCATAGAAACTCGAAGACAATCACCATTTCTGCGGAACATCATCTTTTACAACGTGAAGCTGTAAAAGATGAAAAAGAAAAGAAAAAAAAACCGTTCAAATATCGACCGAATGCCCACAGGGTGAAACGATGAGAATCGAGGATCGTGCACACGCTTAACCCGATCCGGCTGCCACAACAAATGGCCCAAATTGAAAACAAACATAATAACTGCTTCCGGCGTCGGACGAGCGGCCGTATTTATTATTTCTGTGAGATTTCCGACCTAAAGGTAAATAGGAGTATCGCAGTTGAAAAACAATTTGTCGCTCTCGAATCGATAGCACAGCCAGCTCAACACGTTGCAAACCGGTGTTCCAGAAATACACCGGATCGAATGACGAAAAGCCGTTTTTAAAGACACTTGGAACCTTTGTTTGCCGAAAGTAAGAGATACCGTTGCTTGCTGACAGATAAAAAGAAATAACTTCTCAGAGGCGCAGCTCGAAACGTTGTTTGCGCTCCTAATCAATAGCATAGCAAGAGTAATTGGAGTTAAGATAACAAAGGAACTCGTTGCTGTTACTCGATTGTTATTTTTTTTATTTTTGCCGGTTAGTCCATATAACTTTCAGATAAGCGGCCTCAAAATAAAGCCAAGTGGCACAAATCCACTCGTAAATAAAGGGGGAGATTCCCTGTTCTTGCACTGATAGCGTGCATACGTTTTACCTGCTACGAGAAACGTGTTTAAGAAAATATATTGCCTCGTATGTGTCTCAAGCCGTTCCTTTACTTTATTTCGAATTGAACTTTATAAATCTTAACAGCGTGTTATAAAATCTCAACCATCAATTTAAGTCAAAATTTAATTTTTAAATTTATGTTAATTTTTATTTAAAATACTTTAATACAATTTTATATATTTCCTATTTATTATTCCTCATGATGCATTGCGAACATTTAACTTATATTCTGTTGAGGTTAACGTCCCGGTTATCTTGGTTAATTTCAAAGTGATTATAAACTCACATAAAAGGATGAATGTGTAACCAACTGAAGTGTTATTTCCTAACAATTAAGTGATTTCTTGGTTTTTGATTTAGTTCAAAAGTTGCATGTAATTGCATAATGCAGAGTTGGGTAATATCCGGATACTTCTGTATCCGGATACTTTTTGAGTATCCGATACTCTGTACCCCCGGATACTTTTGAAATGTTGTATTCGGTATCCGCTATTCGTGACTAAATCTGAAAGTATCCGGCATCCGGATACTTTTTTCGGTGTTCGGATACCTGTTAATAGAGTTCTTTTTATTCCCTATTCTATTGTCACACACGTACATATACACCAGAGTTTTTGAATTCCCATTTTTTTCAGTTTCTTCTACTATTGTACATCTTTTGTGACTACATCAATAATTGTGGCTTTACATGTTGGAAGTTAGTTGTTCTTTTTTTTTATTATTGTGGGAAAATCGAGGGCTCTTTCTCCGATTAAAATTTGTACACTAAATTTCCCGTTTTAGAAAAAATTCAAAGAGCCCATGTCGTAGCAAGTGTACAGGGTGTCCCAATTTCGATGTCCGCATAGGCTATCTCCGAAACTAAAAGAGATAGAAAAAAAGTAGCTTACATGTCATGATCTCGTTTTTCGTGAAAATGCTAATGCCGAAAACTCCGAACAGCTATCATCTTTTGTTTTCGCCCTATCGGCAAAAACTGAAAATTTTGCAAAAACGACAATCGCGAATATCTCACTTATTATCAAAGATGGAGTATTATAAATAAAACATTATATGGGCAACTTTTTACGAAGAATTCAGTGGCGTAGGTAGAATTTTTTTCCCATCATTTATTTTCGAGATTTTAGACGTAACTTTATTTTTTTAAATGGAAACCATAGTTGGCTATGACTTAAAATAATTTGTTATTTTCTTCTAATAACAAATATATATAGTTTGCGGGGTATATTTCTTATGGTTATTGAATAATTAACAAAAATTCATTTTGTTCTGTCTAAAACTAATGTATGTATTTAAAAGTTAATGTTGCTATGGTGATAACCATACATACTATGATGGAACATAATGTATCAAATAATTGCCAAAGTTTGTATTTAAAAATTCGATAACAACTCCGGCATTATGTGCTGGTACGATGCACCAGCATGTTAAGTGTCAAAGTATAACAAAACTGAATAAAACTTTACAATGAATTTCGAAAATTATGAAAAATGTAACACGATGGAATGCTATATGTTATCAGATAAGAATGCGACGTTAGCCGCGCAATTTTATTTCACAAGATATCCAGAAAGAAGACAACCACACGTAAGAACCTTCAGCCGGTTAGCAGAAAATTTAATAGAAATTTGGTCCTTCCCCAAACCACATACAAAAACATACCAAAATGACCTGCAAGAGAAATTGCAACAAGACGTCTGACCCAAAAGCCGCTGCTCCCGAATATGAAAGAAAAATAAGTATAAACCATACAAAGCGGGGCTAACTCATTATTTACGTGCCGGGGATGTCGATCGAAGATTAGAATTTTGTAGATGATATTTAAAAAAATTAAATAATCTGCTGTTTGTTCAAAATGTTATCTGGACCGATGAAGTCTCTGAATGTTCAAAGAAGATTGGGGTTCAATGTATGGTGTGCCCTTTTAGATAATAGAATTTTGAAAATTTTGACAAAAATACAATGGATGTAGCCGTCCTGTTAGATTCTACTGTCCTTGCTACAAACTTTGGAAATAATTGGAAACAATGCTTTCCCTCATGGTATGGTTATCACCATAGCAACATTAACTTTTAAATACATACATTAGATTTAGATGGAACAAAATGAATTTTTGTTAATTATTCAATAACTATAAGAAATATACCCCACAAACTATATATATTTGTTATCAGAAGAAAATAACAAATTATTTTAAGTCATAGCCAACTATGGTTTCCATTTAAAAAAATAAAGTTACGTCTAAAATCTCGAAAATAAAAGATGGGAAAAAAATTCTACCTACGCCACTGAATTCTTCGTAAAAAGTTGCCCATATAATGTTTTATTTATAATACTCCATCTTTGATAATAAGTGAGATATTCGCGATTGTCGTTTTTGCAAAATTTTCAGTTTTTGCCGATAGGGCGAAAACAAAAGACGATAGCTGTTCGGAGTTTTCGGCATTGGCATTTTCTCGAAAAACGAAATCATGACATGTAAGCTACTTTTTTTTCTATCTCTTTTAGTTTCGGAGATAGCCTATGCGGACATCGAAATTGGGACACCCTGTACACTAAATTTCCCCAACGAGAGACCACTGGAGAAAAATATAGGAGAAAAGATTAAGAGTCACTATAAGTAAAATATGGATGACAATATATTAGTTTAACAATAATTTAGGTCATTTTAAAAGTATTCGAGAATGTATCCGAAAACTGCCGGATACATGTATCCGGATACTTTTATGGAGAAAGTATCCGTACTTTTTTAAAAAAGTATCCGGATACATTGTAAGTATCCGGAATCCGGTACTCGAATACTTTTTTCCTGTATCCGACCGAGCTCTGGCATAATGATACAAATATTTACGTAATGCTAAAAATAGTCAAAACGGATTTAGGAGACTTCAAAACATACACATCAATATCACCTATGCGAAGTTAGCCCCCATTTTTTTAAAACGCCAAAATATTGCAAAGGTACACGAAAATAACCCAAAAATGACTTTCTTTAAGTGGTCATAACTCGTAAACCATGTACTCGATTATCAAGATATATAGGTCATTCGATTCACCATAGCTCCTTCTATCGAAATCACAAAATGCCCGATCTCAATTCTCTCCCGTTAACCTTGTACAGCCCTTGGAATGACACCGTGTTCGGCTCTGTTATTTATGCACGTATGGACGCCAAGTCTGTATTAGTAGTCTTTGTATCAAATTGATTATAACTGAAGAACGGTATGACGGATTTTATATCTCAATCGAAAGCTTGCACTTGGCTAAATGCAGTTGTTGAAATGCCCGATTCGACATATTTAAGGATTTCGATTAAAACACAAAAAACTAAGTAATCAAACACATCAATTATCTCCTTAATTAATTGACAAATTTTAGTCATCAATGTCTCGATTGAAAGTATGATCCACAATGAATGCGAAGGCGAAAATACCAGATCTCAAAATTTACTAATTACCTACGTATCTACGGACTGGAAATCTAGCCCCTAATAAGAAAAAATTGATCGCTATAACTAAAGAACGGTTTGACCGATTTTAATGCTATATATCTCAAAT